GAATGATTTGCCTACAGTAAGGACTCTCAGGATCTTATTTGATGATTCTTTAGAAATTGGTGTCGCTAAAATTAGGGCGATAGGTCCTAGGACAAAGTAAGAATAATGGCAGTATAATCGCTACTTTTATTATCTATCTACTCTATGTACCCTAGTCTCCAGGTTTACTGTTCGTCGCTTGTCACCTTATTTTTAAAGGCTGTAATCCAATGAGGTACAGCAAATCACCAACAAAGTCTTTCTTCACCTGAAGAAAGTTCTGATGAACGTTACACAACGTTACACAACTTGCACTCAAATAAAGAACCTTCACGAATATCCGACATATTGTGTAAAGGTAAACAAGCACGTACGTACATACATCAATACTTCTGTATGTGTGCAAGGTAAAAGGAATCTCTGCAGAAACCCAAATTCAAGGTCCAAAATCCACTCTCCACTCCCCACATTCCTTGTCAAGTGCCTCGCTAGTCTCAGATCTAGGCCGTGTGCCTATTCCCAGGGGTAGGTCGTCATGGGTAAAGGATCAATACCATACATACAGGCCACGGGGACGAGAGTGTAAGATTTCGGCCCCCAACTCTGCCTCGCGATCGCGAATGCAAGGGAGCAGGTTGTGTAACCAGCGAGGATAGACAGGGGGTTCAACAATTTTGTTTTCTCGTGGCAGTCAAGGAATATCAGACCTCAAACAAGCGCCGACTTGAGATCAACAGGCTAATCCAGTCTATAGATAGTATCAGTTAGCCATTGTGGTTTCATCGTACTATTGTTGAAGGGGGTGTGGAATGCTTGCCTTAGTTGCAGATAATCCATGTTAAGTTGCGCGCTTACTCTGTGCATTTTGGGATATTCTTAGCGGCCACCAGTAGGAATGCATGGAAAGGGTTGCTAATTGGAAGCAATGCAGTCTGTGAAACTGGCTTGAAACATGGGGCGTTTTTTTTTTTAGGTAAATTTTCTAAGTTTGGAATTGTTGGACAAATGTTGTCTAGTATGTTAATTTATTCTTAGACAGTAATTACTATGTTAGGTATGCAGGAGGTGTTGATATACTAATGATCTGGACCGGCTTCTGGTTAGTGTATCTGGTTTCTCTACCTGTCAACTGTCAAGGGGACCCATCTGTCAGTTTAAGGGGGTGAGGGATGTCTGGAAATTAATTCCTGATCCTCTTGGATATTATTTTTGTCATCGATTTAGATTAACTATCTGTCTCCCTCGACTTCCAAATTTGGCAGTTCGCTAATCCCGATAGCCTCGTGAATTAATCAAAAACATGGGGACAAATTAGACAGTTAGTAGTAGTAGTTAATATCCATACGGAGGACGCCGTCGACCAGGAAGAATTCCAAATAACAATCTCCCCACGGCATGTCAGAACCGGCCCGGGTCCACGTTCCCCTGATCCGACTCCCCGTCTGTTTTTACCCAATCTGGGAAAAGGAAGAAAAAGTAGATAAATAATAATTCCTAATTGAAAATCCCAACCATACATACCAATATATTTTTGCTCGGTTGACTTGGATTAGACCGAGTAAGTAACCTGAAAGGCTCGGATCCACAAGGACACCCGTCACCCAAACTACCAGATCTAGTGCCCGGACGGTCACATATCGTCCAAGGCCCGGGGAAAGGTTTAGCACTCTTAGTGATTACCAAGCGTCCCCTCTCCCTGGGATTTCGATAAGGAATAAAAAATGGAGCCAAATTAGCTTTGATAGCAAGTGGGAATCCCAGTGACATTACATTGGTTGGGCAGAGCTTACTATCTAGGGAGATTGGGTCTAGGACTCGATGTAGTGTTGTAAACGAGCGTGAAGATTGACAGTCCGTTCTAGGCATGGGCGATCAGCGGTATGTTTGTTCCTCGCTATCAGACCTTGGGGATAAGCCCCATTTTTTGTCTCCATTCTCCATAATATTATTGCTCAAGAGGCAAATGATATGCAACCATGGACCATAAGAGTGAGCATGTCATTTTTTTCCCCTTTTGCTGAGAGCCCCACTGTGTATAGTAGTAAGCAGCTAATGCAATGCATACGTCTTCCCGTGCATAACACTCGCCACAATCAAGACCTGGAATAGAGTCGCAATCAAAAGTGGATAAGCATCTTAATGCTGTAGTAACTGATGTACGCTGTACCCCGTAGCAATTGTCACGATGCTAACCTGCGGCACTCGCGGGAGGAGATCATCAAGACATTATCCGCCCTATTTCTGTAAAAGGCAAGTAGTGGTCGTCGCTCCTGGTGCCCTGTGATCAAGGCCAACCCCTTGCTTAAAAGCCGAAGCTTGCAGTTGATACGAAGGAAGCCATGTTGGGGTGTGCAGGATTACGGAAGACAGTTCCGCGACGCTTCGAGTTAGGACTATCGCCTCTACTGCGACAAGTAGCTATACGAATCTACTATCTCACATGTTCGTATACGTGCGTGCATATTTAATGGAGCGTACTTGTGGTGCATGGGGTGTATATACATACATGTCGTCTGTGGCGACTTGCGACCCGTGATTGTTAGTACCTAGACGTGGCTGGGTACCTGTGACAAGTCCAGATAAGATTGACTATTGATGTTATGGAAAGGAAATGGAAAGAAAAAAGGAGGAAGAAGAAAATCTTTCATCCCTCCACTTATAGCGACATCTGTATATCGACACTTGCAGAAAGATCTGCAAGCGCTATGTACCTCTGCATGCACTTAATCACAAACGGATACTGTGGACCGGGCAGGACCAGGGTGTTTCTTGGAATATGCAAGGTTAGATTAATGGCCAGGTCGATCGAGTCGAATCTATGGATCTAATCGCGCAGGGGCATGAACCAGAGACAGCATAAATGAGAATGATATTTTACCCTGTTTCATGAACTCGGAGGATCTCGGTCTTCATTTGATGTTGGCAGGAGGGTGTGACAATGATGTAACCACTTTTGGTACTGGGTCTTGTTCAAGGCACATGCATGCAAATAGCGAGTAGGTATCAAAGGGGAACTGGTTTGAAAGAGGTGTAACTAGGATTGTGAGAGTGGTAAACCACCGATCTATATGCAACCACTGATTCAGGTTGATTATCAATACCTTCACGGATCTAGTCATGTGTAACGCAGGTCGTGTATGCATGACGAACCCTCAGGTTAAGTCAATCACGCACCCTAACTAGTATAGAAAGTCAAAAGGATAGTAATACAGGTGTTAGTTACCACTAACTAGCAATGGTGTCATGCAGACTTGTTCAAGTTGGCCTACGGCAGAAGAGAATACTCGTAATATAGATAACTACCATCTCCTAGTAGGTTCCTTGAATAGGTCCACGTACAAACCCAAAGCCACTAGTAAAATTCCTCTTACCAATCGATCAGCAAGATAGTCTATTAATCTAGATAATAACCGGGATCGCTTTTTCGAAAGTAGAGGGTAATCCTCCGCAGATGACGAGTATCTCCGATCTCAGTGTAACCACATCTAAACTATTTCTTTCTGCCCTAGTTGGCCACCCAACCAATGAATGGCCTTAGAGAGCCTCGGCACAGTCGATCTCGAGAGGGGTTCCGTGTCCACTAGATCTCTCGGATTTGCGACCTCTTTGGTTTGGGCGCCCTGTGCGCGAGCTAATGCACTTGGTACGTAGGCATGATCTCAAATTCGAGGGCCGGCTGCTGCTTGCTTAATCAATGGGCACTACTCGGGCGGAATCTAAATTGCCTTCCCCCCGTCTGCCACCTGTCACTCAATAGTTCCGTTGATATGCTCACTATCGTATGTTGAATGTAGTCTAATTTCCATACATGATAGATCGGAATTGGCTTCCGATCAAGATCTACTAGAATCCATTTTTGATTCAAATAGTTACCTAGCTTGAGCAATCCGTAATTAGGAATGTTCTGCCCTCCAATGTTGACTTTTCCCTGTGAGCTGATATGCCCCTACGATGTACCCGTGCATCCCTCACATATAACCGTTCAGCTTCACTCAACTTCGCTCGGTTAATATATAAGGTGGCAATAGGTGCACCCTCGGATGACAGGTGCATATACATATAGTCTTGGAAAGCTAACAGCAAAAGTTCCAAAAGTCTCACATCTTATGCATGTATGTTGGGAAGTACATTCATGGAGTCCCATAGTCCGGTCTAGATCACCAATATCCATTGGCCAACTCCGTAGAAAGACACGATATACGCCAGGGCAACAACTATCCCCACATAAATACAGACAACCAATACTACCTGCCCACTTGAGCACTCATGTGTTGACGGTTTACAATAGAGAACACTCGAGACAGTTAGTGGATCCAAAAAGGAGGAAATGGTTCAGCCAGTCCCGAACCAGTATACCAAATTCAAATAATTCCATAATGCTAAAATCGAACTCCTACCCGCAAAACCCTAACACACAATACGGAGTAGGATCCCGAGAGCCAGAGCAAATCAATAATGACATAATAACAGTGGGGCCAACGAGGATGTTAGTCTGTGTGGCTCAGCCTAAAAAGTGGATAGACGAGGATGTAGTATCCCGATCAGGTTAAGATACATGTGGCACAGCAAACAAGACGGAACAATGGGCCGCGGAAAAGCAGGTGGAGAAACCTCAGGGACCGACCGCTTATGACGATATGTGGACTTTGTATGTCTCGTCCCGAGATCTTGAAGTTAAGAGATGCGTCTCCACCCCGGGAGGGTCGGTCATTTTCTTTTTACCAACCAAAAGAAAACCTATGGGTACCACGCGTGATGCCTGCCGTTCTTGATCCAGTAAGTAAGCGATGCCGTCCTGAGTTCGTGCAACTTGGGTAACGGTAGCCAACGAGCGTTGCGCCCGGAAAAGTAGATCCTTTACACGAGATGTAAATTTGAGTCTAGCGACGTAGTTCCGAAGGCTGGGTGCCTTGATCTAGACAACCATGCGAACTGGACATTCGGTGGAGGAGTAGAGGCAAAAAGAGAAATAGATCTAGCATGATGATGAAGTGTAACAAAAAGAAAATGGAAAAAGATATCGACACCTGAGAGATTCGAACTCTCGCTCACGAATGAACGGGATTAGCAGTCCCGCGCCTTAACCACTCGGCCAAAGTGTCCTATTCTATACCTTAGCTTATCTCTCATCTATGATATAGAGTATATTTCTCCCCCACAAAAGACACTTTTTCAGCACTTGCGAAAGGAGATTTTCAGTCATGTGAGTTCGCGATATTTCTAGATGTCAAAAAACAATTACACTGAACTACGTTATTGATGTATAGCACAGATCAAAGCCCTATCACGAATCACATTGAACACATATGTAGCAGGTGTTGGAAGAAACGCTCACATGGCTTCCCGGCCATGGGGGCTGGTAAAGAGTGAGCGGACCAGCTGGCCACGGCTACGAGCATGTCAGAGCCCACGCTCTGCTCTTCGCTGCGAGGCCTTTCGGGAGTCTATCATCATCCGTAGGAAGCCCTTGTAGACCACCCTTCGCAGTGTCCTCGCCGACCTCTCCTGCAGGACGTTTGTCCTCTACCATAGGCTTTCCGCTGTGTAAAAAGGGTTGAACTAGCGCTATACGCTGTTTGATCTGTGTAAAAGACTCCACCTGCCCATGCCGCCTGGGTATATGGGCATTATACTAAAAAATACCTATCTCACCCTGGAGGCGAACGGAGTCCGGGTGCCTTGTACAGAATTATGGAAGACCAACTATCACAGGCTGCTGGTTGGGCCAAATATACCCGCAAGTCAGTCGTATATATATATTCCCGAGCACAAAGCTTCTCGATTGGTCCAGGAGCCTACATGTCACACCAGGTTATGAACATATAACCAAAGCTCACATCCCGATAGACTAAAAGTGATATGAAGGATCGGAGATGCTTCAGGCTATATGGGCCCAAATGCAGTTTGGGCTACCAGAGACAATCTGTGAATCCGTCTCAGCCGGTTACGTAGCCAGCTAGCCGGAACTACCTTCAATTGACCAGTGGGCTGACAGATAGACAGGTGAGCAACAACAATTGTAAAAATAACCTCACAATCCAGAGACATACCTCGAACAACCCAGAAAGGAAGCCTCCTTTCTGTGGTACTAAGCGGGCATATGAAGAAACAAATTTTGGTTATATCTGTATGATTATTATTCTTGCTTGAAAGATATAGTATATAACAAGACACTTTGGCCGAGTGGTTAAGGCGCGGGACTGCTAATCCCGTTCATTCGTGAGCGAGAGTTCGAATCTCTCAGGTGTCGATATCTTTTTTTAAATTTTTGACCAACGTCAATATTCTTTATTTTGCCAAAGCTTCTTTTTTTATGATAACTGTATAATACTGACCTGAACATTGCTATTAAGCCAAGATTAAAAAAATCATATTCTTCTGGTAAGCCCCTGTCAAATGAACTGACAACCGGTATGTTTTGCATAAAGCGGCAAGCTGTCTGGCTTCACATCTACCCACACGGTGCCACAATTCCGAGGCTTCGCCATTTGAGACTAGAGCTGCTTGTAGAATTATTTTATCCAATATTCTTACCTACCTCACTAGACAAGTGAACTAGACTAGGTAGTAGTGACTAGACCCATTCCCTAGTCCCACATGAGGGCGGTGTCATTCGTATTGTCAGAGTGATAGCTTCGGCTTCCCCGAGTTTAGGTGCATTGGATTTTTTCCACCTTCTTAATTTTAATTTACGTTTGTTTATTTCCTTTCCCGAAATAGTTGTCATGAGGTCATTTTGAGTCCCTTGCAGTCGGCTTTACCGTTAAATGATATGACAGGGATTTTAAATTATAGATCATAGACAAGTGCAGAACGTAGTAGCATTAGTACAGCCTGTTTTTTTTTTGGCAAAGATAATGCAGATGAAAATTTTTTCCCTTACCGGCTACACATAAGCAATGTGCAATGTTGGGTCCAGACTTCCGATGAGAATGCAGGTGTAGTGCGCCAAGCCTTCAACGAACTGCAGTGGCTTGATGAGGTCAATGGCACATGCAATATTTAGTCAGTTTGTACTATATGAACGGGGCGAAAATAAATGGTTATTGGAAGAGACACCCGAACACGTAGAGTTTGTCTAAAAATGATGGTGGTTGTTAGCCCAGTAGCTGTGCTTCTGATCTGAGTTGCAGCGCAGAAAGATTGATATCCTTGTGGGTTGAGTTTGGAGTAGAGTTTAACCAACAGGACGATGCGATTGCGGTTCGTGGACTCAGTCGGGGGTGGGGGGGTTGTGAGTTTCGGGGCTCCTCCCGCGACTATGGGTGTTCCCTTTAAGGGTTTGTTTACGTTTTACTGTTTGAGGATATTGTAGGTTATGAGATACTAACTATTCATTGGTGGATAGCATTTACTCTTATCTCAGGTTCGAATAATGAGAAAAAAAGACATTGTCAAAGAAGGGGCTGGAAAATAAGAAATGGATTGCATTATATTTTGGCTTTCAAGGGAAAGTCTGTCACGTACTTCCTCTCGGGTCGGGACTTGCTGGCTTGCAGCTGTCAAAATTTGAGGCGCACTTTAGGTTTTCCTACGTGTGCACATATAACACCACAGCAGAGAGCAAGTGATTGAGTATTACATGTCAGACAGTATGTTTACTGTCGCGCAGACTTGTATTGTAGACTTTGAATACTCTCATCAACTCTCTTTTCACCCCGCCCTATCTACTTCGCGAGGATACGAGACATAGGGCATGGGACTTTCACACCGACTGACTATGGTGAAGCCAGGGAGGTGCTGATCACTTGCTCTGATTGGATATATATGGTCGCCGAATACAAATCAATCACCGAAGCTATTGAACCCTACAGATCGTACGTAAATTATCGAGTCCAGTTTCCCGATGAATGGTAATCTAGGTCAAGATCCCTAGCACTTAGTAACCACCAATGTCCATGTAGCAACCATCTTAATCCCATAGGTTAATCTAAAGTCCCGCTCCCGCTACTGCTACTACGCAATATGTATGTACGATATCTACAACTCCCTCTGCGCCATGAGTGGCAAAACAAGTTACGTGCTGGGGCAATTACCCCTCACCAAGAATACCAAGCAAAAAAAAAAAAAAAAAAAAAAAAAAAAATTCCAACCGGTTCATCAAAAGAGTTCATCTCCTTGGCCGGGAAGATTCTGCAGTGTAACCTGACCAAAGCACTCATTTGACTCGTGGATCTTGCTTTTAGTCTCCAGCAATAATCCTGCCCCGCACACCAGGGTATGTACAAAAGCGATCGATCAGCAAACAAAAACCAAGATAACTAAAAACTAAATTATGATTAGAATTATGAATATGATTATTGATACCCAACCGCACGAACCGCTGCACTTGTGAACCCTCCCCTTACTAAAAACACAAACAAGGAACCCAACCAACCTATACCTACTCAGGGACTTACTTGACTTTGACTTGACTTAATGTACAGTACGATCTTCCATGTGAACACGCCAATCATTTTCGATCCTTCATTGACGATGGCCCATGCAAGTCGTATGCACGTAAATCATTTTTTTTGCCTTGACGTGGATTCTATCCCTTCACATCCTCTCCCCCCACACACAACTCACATCACAGTACACAACATACTCTGTACCCCTCCTCTGTACCCCTACTCAGTTCAATCCACCCCAGTGACATCGGTATGTATCCATGAGGCTGGCTGAAGCTGATACCTACCTTCTACACCGCTCAACCCATCCAGTAACAACTAGTTACGTACGTGAAATGTCCGTGGTGAGTTACGCCCAGGATATGAAAAAAACTTTGTAGGAAGTTTTATGGGCTAATCGATCATTTCTTCACACCCCGGATAGCGATAATCCTCGGGAAGCGCGAAGAATCTGATTGTTAGTTATTGTTCTGCGAACTTGGAATAGTTTTCTTTCCCCCCTTTGGCGGTGAGGGATCGATCTGGTGGATGGTGGTAGGTAGTTTGGTTAAAGCCACATGTAATTAGGGCCTGTAGGCCGGTTGGTTTGGTCTTGGTAGCGTGTGAGTTATGTTGGCGGCCAATTGGGTCGAGGGTGGAAGGTGCCTTTTTGGGGTTGGTTGGCCTTCCGGGGAATTATGTTTATTGGTAGTTTCTTTGACTTTTTGGTTTTTGATGGGGGCGTAGATATTTGAAAGTTATCCTAGAGATAGACACCTTGGTGGTTGGATACGTCCTTATGGTATACACATTGGTACTGAGGACATTTCTATTCGAGTCCTAGAGTCCTTCATTAGGGTATAAAACAGCATGATACGTAGTATACTCCGGAGGATGAGCACAGTAGATGAAGTAGCTCTGATACTTGAATAGATACAATTTGATTAGTCTTGAGATTAAGACGATTAAGCACAGTCTTAGATATTTAAATTGTAACAAACGTAGCTGGTGTGAAGCTTCATCTAAAAAGAAGGCGGCTGGTTTCTGAGAACATCCTATTCGGAACTCCAGTTAAATGGACAAGTTGGCTTTAAGTCTTTTGCGGGTACGCAGGGCATATATTGAACTACATGGTCAAAGTCATTAACTAGACGAGGTACTAGACTGATTGAAACTACTCTGTGAGTAACGAGCCTTCAATCTCTCTGTGAGTAAGAGCACAAGTGGTTATCAATACATTGTTGCGGCTGTGACTACTGAACTTGGCCTAAAGTCTGGGATAGAGTTTGGTACGCACTACCGACGAATACGGATAGTACTTTCAACTGTTTATGCAAATTAAATAACAGCTTGGTTGAAAGGGGCACCTGCGTTGCAATGCGAAGAAACTGTTGTGATTGAAAGACACACTAGCTGCCCGAGCAAACTCGGGCAGCTGGAAGAACTTGGGACATTAAAGTAACGTGGATGCTCTAAGAAACAGGGGTCCGATCTGGCGTACGTACATGCTTAACCAGCATATGAACAAACCAGACAAGTAACTATGATTACTCAATAGCTTCCTGATCGAGGTATAGATCACAAGCATGAGGGTGGCGCAGACAATACTTCGGAACTAGGGCTTGGGCCTGCACGCCATTGGCAACAAGGTATTCTCTGAAGTTGAGGATTCGCTGGGTCATCAACGTGGTGCGTTTGTTGCCATCGGCATCGCGATTACCCGACCAAACCAA